AGCTGAGCTACTTACAACAAGGGCACCCTAAGATACTGCTAACAGATTGATTTTTTTCATTTTCTTCCTTTCACTGTCACTCTCCAAGCACACAAAATATAGCGTGCCTGCTGTATTCCACAAGCACTTCCTCACAGGCCTTAAGGCTTCTGCTTCCATCTCCAGCATATTCCACAATCTGGTGCCAAAGGACTCCTCCAAAATCACTTTTGCTTACATTAGTAAGAAGCTATTAACAAAATTCTGCCACTCAAAAGAAACCATCCTCTAGCACAGTGCCTTCTATTTTCCATATCAACTCTTTAATGTCATTAGATATGACCTAAGTCATTTTATAATCTGCTTATAGCACTTAGCATGAAAATATACATTTTGATATTTTTAAAGACTCTTGTGCATTTTAAAAATTACAAATGGACATAGCACTGATCGCTTAATCATTCTGGTACTATTGGGTTTATTCAAGTTGCTTGCAATTTATTACTGTGACAAATAATCCTCTGAAAACACCTTTACACAAACATCTTTGAATATATTTCAGGTATTTCTTAGGAGTAGATTTTAAGAATTAGAAGTTCTTTATTAGAATAAAGGGCTTGAACATTTTCAGAATTTTATATATAGCTGCTATATTACTTTTTAGAAACTCTCTAAGGATTTACATTTTCACCATTAGAACTGCAGATATACTCTATAAATCTCTGCTCTCTGGATATATAAAATATTGCTATCAAGTTTTTATAGTAAGTTTAACTATTTTTCGAAGCCATTAGTATTTACCCTTTTTAAAAATTGCTCACATCCTTTCCCATTTATCTATTAATCTTAATGCATTTGTCTTAATGAGCTTTAGATATTAAGAATAATCTTGTATTAAACCTGTTGCAAATAATGTCACAACTTGTAATTGTAACTTATAATTTGATTTATATTGTTTGAAGGCAAAGAAATTAAACTTTTAGTATGTAACCTAAAATATTTTGATCTTTTTCTTCTTTATGATTTCCATGGCCTTTTAAGCTCTAAAAGTAACCCTCCCCACACCTTCTAATGCTCTGCCTTGCCACATGTAGATCCACCAGCAGAGAGTGGAATCTAAGTGGTTAAAGGACTTTAGATACAATCTTTCATCAACCTGGCTGAATACTAAACTATGCTGTCAAACTATGAATCCTAGGAAGGGAGATTTAAAAATAAAAATGAGAATTAAAACAACCAGGACATCAGCAACCATGGGGAAGTCCAACTACACAATCAGTCTGAATAAGTCACAAAATGAATGAACAGCAGCAACAACAAATTCTAGGGGTGCAGAGCTCAGTATCCAGAGTAGGTAAAACAGATCTTCTAAAATGTCTCATTTTCAATTTAAAAAATTATGAGACATGTAAAGAAACAAACTTTGACCCCACACACAAACATACATACATAAATAGGTAATCAATGGAAACTGTGTTGAGGGACTTAGTTATTGGACAAAGGCTTCAAAGCAGCCTTTGTTACAAATATGTTCAAAGAACTAAAGGAAACTATGCTTAAAGAATTAAAGGAAAGTATGAAGACAATGACTCAAATACTGTCTACATTTGACTTGAAAAATAATCAAATAGAAATTCTGAATTTTAAAGTATAATAATTGAAATGAAAAATTCACTAGAAGGGCTCAACAGAAGATTTGAGCTGATAAAAGAAAGAATCAGCAAACATGAAGAGAGATCAATAGAGATTATTGTTAGGGACAGAAAGAAAAAACGAAGAAAATGAACACAGCCTTAAGAGGCCTATGGGAAACCATCACGCTTACCAACATATACACAGCCAGAAGGCAAGAAGAGAAACAGATAATGAATGTTCCAAGATGACTAAGAATTACTTTTTACTTCCCAGTGTTTTTTGGTTTGTTTTAACCATTATATAATAGCAGAAAGATACATAACTATACTCACTCAAACCTGCCTCCTCATTGTTTCTTAATTTCAAAATCTTTGTACCTATTCAATACTGATCTCAAGTTGAGACTTATGTTATTCATGTAACTTTTCCTAACACCATCAGTCCACATTGATCTTACCTCTTAGAAAGTTTTCTTATCTTAGTAAGGTTAAAAACACCTATGCCTTGGCCGGGCGCGGTGGCTCACGCCTGAAATCCTAGCACTCTGGGAGTCCAAGGTGGCGGATTGCTCGAGGTCAGGAGTTCAAAACCAGCCTGAGCAAGAGCGAGACCCCGTCTCTACTATAAATAGAAAGAAATTAATTGGCCAACTAATATATATAGAAAAAATTAGCCGGGCATGGTGGTGCATGCCCGTAGTCCCAGCTACTCGGGAGGCTGAGGCAGAAGGATTGCTTGAGCTCAGGAGTTTGAGGTTGCTGTGAGCTAGGCTGACACCATGACACTCACTCTAGCCTGGGCAACAAGCAAGACTCTGTCTCAAAAAAAAAAAAAAAAAACACCTATGCCTCATAGCTTTCTGTGAAAACAAAACTACAAAAGGGAATACAAAATGCATAACACATTATCTACTATATTTTGTTATGTGGGGTACTCTATTCTATATTTTTATTTTTCTGTACAATGTATGAATACAAACTGAAATTGATCCCTGGTTTAGTCACTAAGCAGTGTGTGATCTTGAACAAATCATCTAACCTCTAGGGCTGTTTTCTCTACTGTAAAATGAGACTGCTATGCCAAAAGATGATTCTCTATGATTTCTATGAATATAATTCTATAACACAACTACAACTTTGCCATGTACTGTTTACTAATACAGCTTTATATAAATAACAATTTAGATGAGATTCTGAGGTCAAGGTGTTTTCCCAACATTCTGCATAGAAGGTGGACACAAAGAAAAAAATCTATATGATAGATAGGCTACTTTCCCTGTATAAGGACAGTGAGAGAAAGAAAACTAAAAAAAGTGCTGACTATGCTTCAAACTGAAGAGCAGTACAGAACATTTAATGCAAAGAAAAACAAACCATCAAGATTTCTAGAAAAGCATGGTTGCCTAGTTTTACACAGTATCTAATGGAAGAAAGATTAATAGAAGCCAGTAACTCATTTCTTCTAACACAATTATTTGGACATGAACTACAACAGAAGTAAAGTAACTCTGTCTTTGCTACATCACTGTGGATTATGACGGCTTTATTCACACATGAAGCCTTCCCAGAAAAGCAATATCTCACATAAAATGAAAGGGGAAAAGGCAGCTCCAGGAGTTAAAACTTCAGTTTTCCTACCATGAGACCCATAAAAGACTTTTGTTTTTGTTTGTAGCCATGTACACAAAACCACATGTATCACATTACCTTCTAAAAAGCAAAGAAGTTACCAGACCATGTCCCAGGAGCAAACATTCCCAGGAGGAAAAGGAATGAGGCAGTGCAGAGAGCTAAGAGCACAATAAAAGGCCACCAGCACACAGAACTTTAGGTCAGCAGACATTTGGCAAGGAGTGTGATGCTCTGAGAGCTGACAGAGTAGAGGTGGAAGTCAGAGTCCAAATGGTCAGATGAAGACAAGTTAAAAAAAAAAGCAGAAAAAGGGTTGGGTAGAGGCTAAGACTAAACTAAGGATTTCTAAGGAAGAGAAGAATCTGGAGGTGACCAAACACAAAGAAAAAAAGTCAAAGAATGTTAGCAAGGTCAATTAAGCAGCTAATTAGGTTAATTAGTTAATTGAGGTCAATTAAGAACAAAGTAACCTTTTAATGAGGTTAAGAAATGAAATTATGAAAAAGAGAAGGCAATAAAAACAGGCAGGAGGTGAGAGAAAACAATTGCATCCACCCACAAGAATGTAAGCTCGACAAAGGAAGAAACTTCTGCCATTTTTGTTCATTGTATATCCCTGGTGCCATTAATAGTGCTTGGCACAGAGTAGGCACCTGATGAATATGTGTTAAATGAGGAAGTTTTCCCCAAGGCCAATTTGTTCTGTAATAAGATACTGAAGCAAATGGAAGGTAGATGCTTAAGAGAAAGCTGAATGTGTAAGACCCACAGCACAAGGCTGTGGTAAATAGGTCCATGTGGTAGAGCTGACTCATATTTGTCACAGTTTAAAGATCATTTCTTAACACAGGTACAGAAAATGAAATATGATGAAAGTGCTGTTGCAAAGAAATATTAATCAACTGCTATTTCACATAAAAAATTCAAAGGTCTCATGTGTTTGTATTTGTATCTCTTGACAATGAAAATAAAGATTGGGAGTGGGGAAATAACAAAATAAATGCATATTTAAAACAGAATTCAAAATATGTACATGTTTAAAGAATTTATTCTGCCATTACCATACCAACTAGATATATACCAGCAATTTAAAATTGTACCTAAATAAAGAATGTTATTTTCCATTTCTATAGCATATGCAATTGTTTAGGAACAAAGATTTAGGTTATACAGACTAATACCACAGATTTTTAAGCTTACAAACTGATTGTATTAAGTTTCAAAATGTAGCAAATTTCAGAAACACCTGTCTTTAACATGTATAAAGACATTCTAGACATGCTCCTCTAATTCCATGCCATTTGATATATAATACATCAATCCTGGGAAAGTCTACATTAAGAGATAAAATAAACTGGAAACTGGATTGGTCTAAAGTACTTACGGTCTACTCCAAATACTAATATAATGGCACTCAACACACATAAAAATTTTAAAGCACATTATACATCTTTCCAAATCTCATTTTTGAAACTTGTCATGGTATTAGGAGATAATGACAGCACTATGTTATGTGACAAGACCAAGGTACATTCCCATATATACAATATTAAAACAAAAACATAAAATTGCTAAAGTACATAGAGATTAGAAGGAAATATACCAAAGCATTAATGGTGGTCATATCTTTGTGGTAGATAGTGGATGATTTTTATTTCCTTCTTCGTATTTTAGGTAATTAACCTATATTCTACATTAAATTTTAGAGACATTAAAAAAACTAATTATATATAAAAATGTTTCACAGTTACTCACCACATTATAATAGCTTTTGTTAATGGCAGTCGTATCAAATCCTTTGGGAGGACTCTTCAACGCCCCTGATTTGGGAGACACAGGCTTTTCTGAAATAAAAATGTAATGGACTTTTACTGATCAACACCAGGATGACAAAACACACCGGCCCTTCATGCAGCCCAAGGCTACTCATCAGGCAGCTGCAACTCAATGTGCAAACCAAAAAGGAAAGTGAGGTCTCTCTCAGGCTCGGCTCACCAAAGCCCCACAGTCACCGCACACCCATCGCCCACCCTGTTCTCCCAGGTGCGAGTGGAAACATCCGAGCAATTCTGCTCCGCAAATGTCAGCTAAAACCAGAACAGTTTAAGTTCCACATACACTTAATAGTGTGTGAATATAAAACATTACACAGAAGGAGAAAACGCTGGCAGATATGTAACAGTATTAAAACATCAAGATCACAGTTCTAGACTAAATTTTAGGGATTTGTATCACTGAGAATGCAAAGAGCTCTAAACAAGCAGCATCTGGCTCAAAGCTTGAAATAACCATCATATACAAGAGATGGGAAGAAAAAGAAAAATCACTTCAAGCAGGGGCACAAACAAGAAAAAACCACAGGGCCTTAAGAACCTCCACATCAGGCACAACAATTAAAGCTGTCATGATTGCAGCAAGGACTCAAATGTTTTACAATTGCACTGCTTTTATTCACCATATTTACTCAGCATAATAGATACTGAAGAAGCACTTCCTAAACACAAACATGGCATTGTGTTTCTGTGTCTATCATTGGTTCTACAAATAAACGGTGTATGTGCGTGTGTCTATCATCAGTTCTACAGATGAATGGTGTGTGTGGAGGTGTATGTGTGTGTCTATCATAGGTTCTATGGATGGGCGTGTGTGTCTATCATAGGTTCTACAGATGGTGTGTGTTGTGTGTCTATCACAGGTTCTATGGATGGTGTGTGTGTCTATCATAGGTTCTACAGATGGTGTGTGTTGTGTGTCTATCACAGGTTCTATGAATGGGAGGTGGTGTGTGTCTATCATAGGTTCTACAGATGGTATGTGTTGTGTGTCCATCATAGGTTCTATGGATGGGAGGTGGTGTGTGTCTGTCTATCACAAGTTCTATGGATGGGGTGTATGTGTGTGTCTATCGTAGGTTCTATGGATGGTGGAGGCGTGTCTATCTTAGGTTCTATAGATGGGCTGTGTGTATTTCTCTGTCATAGGTGGTATGGATGGGCTGTGTGTGTCTACCGTTGGTTCTATGGGATATATGTGTAGTTGTCTACCATTGGTTCTATGACATGGGTAGATGGGTATGTATCTATCACTGACTCTCCAGGGCTATATATAGACACGTGGTGTCAAATCGAGGCTTGTGGGGGACAAAGGGAAGAAAGAGGCTTCTTCTACATTGTTTCCCAGGAAACTCTGATGAGCTTTTCCTAGGGGACTTGGTTCACACCAATTCCCCTCAAACCTTACCTCCTCTCCAAGAACCATGCTGTGTGAGTGAATCATTGTTACTGGGCAGAGCACATCCCTCCCTCCGGTGTGTGAGCTGACAGGACCTGAGTGCCAACTGTTCACAATCTCTCTCCTTGGCCCTCCTCTCTTTCTCTCCCCATGCTGCCTCCACCATCCACAATCTCACAGTCCCAGGGATTCAGGCAGTACTTCAAAAAAAGTACCTCCACCCCAAACACTCCCAAGCTTCAGGCTCCCAACACCAACTGTCTATTCAATATCCCCAATATGTTTTCAGCAACAGAAGCCCAAAATGTCCAAAACAAAACTCATAATCTTTAACCTTAGATTCCCTTCTCCTATGGAACTGTATACATACATTTTCCTTTAATGCCTCACTATGACATTTTTCCAAATGCTTGAAAATAAAGAACAAAACAGGTGTCATTGCTAGTTGAAGGAATTCCCTCTGCCCTTGAGATGAAAAACAGAACTTCATGGGAAACAAATTGTTTCTAAACTATAAGATATACAAGGTGGAAAATCAATCTATCACAATTCCCTTCTCAATCTCTTATCTGTAGCTAAGAACCTCCAAGACAGTGTAAGTAGATGCAATATATAAAGAAACTCAGGGGGGAGGATCAAGATGGTAGACAAGAAACACCGCCAGACAGAGTGTCTCTGCAGAAAAGACAGATTCTAGCAGAAATCAGAAAAAAGAAGCAAGAAGACGAGCACACAGCGGACGAGAGCCAGAAGGAGGGGTACCTGAGAACCCGGGAGACTCCACGGGAGGAGGCTGCGGAGGAGAACTGGAAGCTGAGACCAGCGGGAAGGGTAGGTGGATTTTCCGTTTCCCCTCCCCTGCATTTGGGACTGCTGGTGGGCTCCCCAGCAGGTGGAGAGACCTGCAGACACCAGCCCAGAGATGGCTGCCGCCAGCTAGCGGTGAGCCTGTAGCGAATGCGGCACCAGGCTCCCAATTCCCTCCAGCCACCTCCGTGTGCACAGACCCGAGCCACGCGGCAGGCGCCATATTGCCTCCTTCTCCCCTCCCCCGGCCCTACCCGTGGCTCCCCAAAGAGACAATACAGCCACCAGCCGGAGGCACCTCCAGGGAACTGGACCTTCCCTTTTGGGACCCTACAGATGACTCAGGGGAACTCAGACTGTGAGTTCCCTACCCACCAGCCCTCCCAGGTGCTGCTGGCACGGTGTTCCCAGGAGAACGGTGCCGACCCAGAGGTTGAGAGAAACAGACCCAGCTTGGGCTCCCTGTGGGTGAATTGGGACCGGAACTCCTCTCCCTGGTGGGGATACAGTTTGAACTCTGGGACCCAGAGGTCGGACCTAGAGACCAGATCCCGTGCACCGAGGTCTAGCATTGTCCGGGGCACAGAAGGGACATACGTGAACAGCCTACTGAGGTGTGTGTGCCTCCAGGGGCAGATCGGCGTCCTAGAGGGCAACCCTCCTCCCAAAAGGAAGCTGTACATGCAGGCCAGGTGGCGTTTCTGCACAGGCAACCTTCCCGCCAGCATCACAGTCCAGGGAGGCTTGGTGGCGTGTGGTCTGGCCTGCTGGCAGAGGCCCAGGAGCAGCTGTGGAGTTGGGGAGGGTGGAAAGAAGCCAGGCCCGCTCCAGATTACAGGTCTCAGACAGCCCGACCCCCACACGCAGACTTTCTGGCTGAGGGGGGCCATTCCAGCCCCTCCCTGACAGCTTTTCCTGGAAACAGAGAACAGAACTTTGACCCCTGCTAACGGCATTGGTGGTGCCTGAGGGCAGGCTTACCCAACCCAGGTCCGCCCAGAACAAGAGCTGGTAACAGGACACAAAAACAACAGCATAGCCTGTTCCTCCAAGCAAGCGCCACCAACTGACAGGGACGGCATCCTGCATAACCTTTTCACGGCACCCACTGACTGATTATACAGGGAGTGGTCGAATCTCACCCACATATACCACCTAACGGCTCAGAAAGTAACCAAGGCGTGTGAATACCCAAACAAAAACCTAAAGGAAAGAAACAACAACTGATCAACATGGGAAGAAATCAGCGAAAGAACTCAGGAAATATGAAGAACCAAACGGAAAACACACCCTCAAAGAGGAGCACCAGCACCCTAGAAACGGACACCAAACAAAATAAGGCAACCAAAGTGACAGAAGAGGAATTTCGTATGTGGATCATAAGAACACTCACCGAGCTGCAACAACAACTCAATAACCAACACAAAGAAACCACAAAAAGCCTCCAGGACCTAGAACAAAAGTTCACTAAAGAAATAGACACAATGACTGAGATGATGACACAGAGTGGACTCTATTATGAGCTCACATACTCAGGACATCTCGGAAATTATTAAAACGGTAATTCTAAAAATAACATAATTCTTAAATTACAACAATAGCCACAGACTGGTCGGCTGTGTACTTGAATGGATAAAGGTAAGATTTACAGTGCTCGGACTTAGATACATTATGTTCTTATGTCTTCCGCACATACAGACATCATCGAGGAAAAAACAATTGCAAAGGTCATAGCAAATACATACACTGAAACTACAAAAGTAAGGGTGGAGATCAGTATTCATGGCAATTTGATGTCCAAAAGAGGATGGCGATTGCAGTTTCATCTATATGTCTGTATCATGATAAATTAGTATAATAATATTATAAACGGGAACAGCATAGTTGAATCAGACAAAAGGGTAGATACATGGTATGCATAAAATAATACTAAATGAGCTGTCTTGGTCTGTGCTTATAATTGGGATACATATTAAACCAGAGGAGATACTACTCAAATCATTTAAATTTATGCACCCAATTAGGGCACTCATGTTTCACAAAGCAACCTTACTGGATCTACAAAATTGATTAATAGCACCTAGCACGTATATTCATTCTCATTTCTCGCCATTAAAGTAATCTCAAGCCACATTGTTCTACAAAATGGAGACGAACACCTATAGAAATTCAAATTGTGTTACATAAAGAAAAGCAAAAAAAAAGAAGTAAAATTTAGAACAAATAGAGCAGATCCTCAAAGAAGAAATTAATAAAGAAATAATGGACTTAAACAAAAGCCCTGGAAAACTGGGTCTGACTTGCATCTACAGGACTTTCGACCAAATCAACTGATATATTTTCTCATCAGGACTCAAGACATTTCTAGATTGACCATATCCTAAGACACAAGTAAATTCTCAAGAAAATTAAGTAAATAGAATCATTAATGTACCTCTCAGATCACAAGTGGATAACTAGAATCAACCCTAACGATACGTCACGATTTATACAGAAAATGTGGAAATAAACTCCTACTAATGATTACTCATAAATGGAAGAAATCAGATGGAAAAAAAATTCTGATGAACAAAACGGCAATGGAAGACAAGTTATCAAACTCTGGGACACAGTAAAGCAGTTCTGAAGAGGAAAGTTTACTCATAAATGCTATACCAAAGACAAAACGATCAAAATAGAAATCTAACGAACGAGCTCAAAGAGCTGAAAAGAAGAAGAGGCCAACCACATCAGAACTGAACAAAATTGGAAAACAGGGAAGTATTGAGGGAGATTAAAAACAAAAAGTTGGTTCTTTGAAAAAAAA